GGTTATTCATCATCCTTCCCTTCCTCCAATGTTTGTCAGAGGTTATCTGCAAATGCTTTCACAGTTGAAGTCTTATCTACCAGCTTTGCCACAGCTTTTTGGGTTTCAAACATAATTGTTTAAAAAGCCAGACTGCCTCCTCTAAGTTGGTTGAAAATTTATCAAGATAGTTGAGGATTAATGAGTATATGGAAGGATGGAGGCCTCTCTGGCTCCCTTTTTTTTCCTCTCCCCATGGCAGCCTTTCTTAAACCATGCCAAGCAGCTGCCTTCAAAAAGAAAGAAAGAAAGAGAGAGAGAGAGAGAGAGAGAAAGAAGAAGAAAGAAAGAAAGAAAGAAAGAAAAAGAAAGAAAGAAAAAAACAAAAAAATGCCAACATCAACAAGTGAAAAAAATTAAACATCTCTACGTATACTACAGGAATGTTGCACGTTAACATTGCAGGACATTGCGTTTGGGTAAGGCTTCCCCAAGTTAAACGATACACCTTTATGCCATTTCTATTATGAAATCATTGTTGCTATGGGAAAATCATTGACACTAACTAGCTTCCTTGTGAGCTCCTATCATTCTTTGTCCTGTTTTACATGTGCTAAAAATAGTCTGGTGTACACAAGCTCAACTAGACATTTATTCTAGAAATATTAAAAACTGACAGAGAAGCAGAAAACATACAGATGAGAACAAAGATCGATGATTTTAAACCATGTTTGTTTGTTTTTTTTAAGTTGTGTTGAATGATTACCATGAAAAAGTCCTGTAGTTCTGCGTAAGTCACTGTAGGAAAAGAGTTTAGTATGGGCCACAAACATTTTGACCTGAGGCATCTAGATATGAGAAAAGGAAAAAAGAGAGTGATATTTCTTTTTTTTTCCACTTGCATTATCCAAATAATTTTCTTACCTTTTACATTCTTATGATTTCACATTTAAGCCTTACTAAGATTCCAAATAGGAGGGATCCTCAAATATGCTACAGCATAAGCCACACTGGTCAAATGGAAGCATATCAGGTCATCAGGCTTAGGCCTGAATTATTCAGACAATCACCCCATTTCAGCTGATCAAAAATGCAGGCTTGACCTTTTTTCATTTTTAAACAAGATATAATGTGATTATTGCTCTAATCATGCCCTATCACCAGCCTGGTTTAAAACAGATAATTGAGACATGGTATAAATAAAATAAAACCAAGTTTTTGTATCTAAGGCACTGTATCTATGACATTGGCCTATACAAGAGCAGTTTATAGGCAAAAGCACTCTTATCACACTTCAGGGGACACCAGAATCAAGTGGAGAGCTTGTGGAAACACAGATTTCGAGACCCAAAGCTCAGGGACGCAAATTCCAATTCTTGGTCCGCCACTGCTGCTGGTCCACAGGTAGTACTTGAAGTGACACTGGTCTAGAATACTCGCACTCACAGGAATATTTGTACAGGCAATTCTTCTCATTGTAGTCCATGTCCTGGCCTTAATATAGGTTCTCAGCCCACCATGTGTGCTCTTGGTAGGAGAGAACTTCTACATGTTTCCCCTGACTTGCCAACGATCCTCATTTCAGTTGGAAAATTAAAATACTGATGAACTCTCCAAGACTTAAAATTTCTTTAAAGTACTGGTAGGAGGTTAACAACACAGGAGCTTTTTTGGCTTCAGTTCAGATATGTTTACTCTACATCAATGATCTTTGGAAATTTTGTCCAAATTACTGTTGAAATTGTTTATTTCAGAACTAGGGTGACCAGATCCACCCCATATCTCTCGACTGTTAACAGCTTTGTTTTTGCAGAGTCAGTGGCTAAAATAGACCAGACATTCCCATCAGCTGTTTGGTCATTGTGTTTTTTAGTGGAATTACAGCATGTTTCAGTATTTTTCTCTGCAGCTTAAATATTGAACAAACCCAGACATCCGGAGATGCTAAAATGAAAAATCTGTTTCCTCTTGCTTTGCCATTTGCCAAGTGAACTTTTTCAGACAGCACATTCTATACATTTGGAGTAAATGAAATTACCCTTAATGTGTTGGCAACATCTGTCACAAAACACTCTTCAATCTATGGCTTAAATGCATTGGATAGGAATAGATGTGACAGTATATTTAATTAGGCACAGTTATGGTTGGGGGCACTAGTTTTGCCTTAAGAATCACAGGTTTATTTTTTTCCTTTTTGGTTCTTTTTTTTTTTTCTTTTCTCTCTTCCTTGTTTTGTTTTGTTTTGTTTTTTAATGTCCTACACAACACAGAGGAGAATTAATCTTTGATGAGCAAAGTGGCGGACAAACACCAGTCTTTGTTGTAGATAACCTGCACTTCAAACTCTCTAAGTTGTCTGTCCCCGATCAAGTATCATCAGGAAGATGTGCCTCTCTGGGGGGTTCCTGTCTACAACTTCCAATTTACTCAATGATTGTAAATTTCTTTCATGCCTTGAAACTATTAAGGAATTTATGTTCTTAATAATTTGTGGGAATTCTTTCTTCATTGAACATGAAGAGGCAGAGACAGTGGCTCTGTCTTCCCCTAAGAATCCTTATTTTATTGTGCGTTTATTTGCAGTAAGTGGCCTGGTGAACAGAAAGGAATGTTTCCTTTCATTGTTTTCCACTTTATGCCTACTGCTTGCTATTTACAATTCCAAATTATGACAACCCCCTTCCTACTCTTCCCTTTGTCAGTTTCTGGTTTATCCACAGAAGCAGCACTCCCTCTGTGTCATCTGTAATCAAATGAGTCCCCAAACACTTTCTGAGAAAGGATTCTGTAAAGAGACCAAACAATCCTTCCTAAATTAATTCCAAATGCCGGCATTCAATCCTTCTATTCTTATCATGCATGGATTTTGATTCATCTGTCATATGCTCACATATCTCATTTGCATATTGCCTCCCAAAGATTGAAGTCTACCTCTTGCACCACTGGGGAATGAGGTCACCTCTAGGGCACTGAGAAGAAAGTTTTTTCTACCAAACACAATTTGGTCTTTATCTCTGATTTATGACGAGCAATCCTTTATGTAGCTAGAGCAGGTTGATTACAATAGGAGGGTTTCGGGGTTGTGACAGTTTAGCTGTTGGGATTTCCAGGGGCAATATTCTAAGAAGGTAGTCTAAGTTTCAAGTTCAAGAACAGTATTGAAGTCTTGCACCTGCTAAGGATTAGAATGTTGTGAAAGTGCCACTTCTTGGTTGAAAAAAAAAAAAAAATGCTTCAGGACTTCCGTCTTAACTCTGAGATTTTTCTGTAGTTTATCCCTAAGTGCTTTAAGAAGGACCCAGTTCTTTTTAAAGTGTTTACTGTTGGTCTGGCACAACAAATACCAGTAATAAAGGACAGAAGCTGTTTGTTTTTTTTTTAAAGGAAAAAGTTAAGGTGATTTTGTTTAAAGAAATTCAGGCAGCAGGAAAAGAAAGTGGTATGTCTCTGAATTATAATTAGGTAAAAGCTTATGTTTCTGATTCAAGAAGTATACTGATGAATGACAATTCATGGACACATCAAGAAATTAAAACAACACAAATGCACAGCTATGTATATTTATAAGCCTCAGACCTTTAAAATAACATAAATATATATTTTTTTTCTGATTGATTCTAGCCCAAAAGCACAAATATCCTTGCAAACAACGTTGGCTCTGAAAATCAAGCATTTCCAAATATTTGACTCAATTTTTATTCTCCCTCCATATTAATGAGGAGGAGCCCACAAGGAATGAATGAAAGCCTGATTTTTTTTTTTTTTTTAACAGATAGTCAGGAAATCAGATTTGGATAATACCAAAGGAATCGATCATCCTGAGCAAAACGTTCTAAGAAACATTTGCTTATGGGTAGTTTGGGTGCTGAGATCCTGCCATCTACATGAATCTGTCCTAGTTTTATTTCTTCAAAATGTTCATGTATATGGGGAAAAAGTCACACAGTGAGAAAAATGTTTACAGACAAAAATAGCATTCAGATACATCATCATTTTATTACCAGTGGGTATTTAAATGAGTTGTGATATCATGAGCTTCTACGTGTATGATCATCTTTACAATAAAGCATTGAAATTTCAATAATCTCAAAGATTCTATCCAACCCTAGCTTTTCAATTAAAAAAAAAATTGTTCCGTTCTCTCAGCTACTCAATTAAGTAGGAGAGAGGAAAAGGAAGCGCTTGCCCTTTGCTTCACTAGCTATGTGAAACTTTGTACATGAAGTTTTTTTTAAATGCCTATTACTTTTTCCATTCCCAACAGTTATAATAAATCAAAGAGCATATTCTAGAAGTAGGTCTTTCTTAACACCCGATGAAAACTTGACTTTTTTTTTTTTGGTAATATTTTAGCAGTGTTGCATTTGACCAGCATTTAACAGAGTTCAGTATTCTGTCTTGTTCAAAAGCACAGATAGAAAGAAAGTAGGTCAAAAGATTAGGAGGAAAAAACATAGAAAATAGTAAATCTGATTTTTATATCATTTATATTAGATTTTACTCTGTCCTTCAAAAAGATCCAGTCAAGAAACTCACCTGGGCCACCATTCTTCCTCCGGTGGTAGGTTGTATTGAGATGATCAATAATTATCCATATAAATCATGGATTAAGGCATAAGCCAAAAAATCTTATTCAATATTGAGAAAAACTAGATAATTTCCATAGTGTTAGTATTTTTCAGTTAGAGAAGTTTGTATTTAGAACAATGAAAGAGAATATATATATATATATATGATATCTTGGAATGCATTCTATAGTGAATATTGGAATTATAAATGATAAGCATTTTAGACACAACATAGATAAATCACATCAGAGGAAAAGGAAGTCATTAATGCTCTCTATTTAGATAAGCACAAAATGGCATGGGTGGATGTAAAAAATCATACATGGTTGAACTTAGCTTTTTCATTAAAAAATAAACACATTTGATGTTAAGGTAGTTCACTGTGTTTATTATTTTTAAAAGTTTCCTTCCTTGTGGAACCTGTTTTCAGATGGACATTGTGTGTGCTTGTAGGGTGCTGTGATTACGCCAACAATGGACCATCCTATGTCGATGCAGCCAACAAACATGATGGGTCCCCTGACACAACAGATGAATCATCTTTCATTGGGCACAACAGGAACGGTGAGTTGAAGAGTTGGTTTTGCTTTGTTTTCTTGGACTGCTTCAATAAGATGCGATGATCTCTGTTTCTACTGGCATTAATAGCAAAGCTGGCCCTGTGCCGTTGACTAACACATGTCTCAGGTTCCAGTGTGAATAAGCTGCATTGTACATGCATATTCAATATTGGGGCACATTTATTCACATTGACAAGGCTGAAGTTTCCACTGTATTGCATTTAAATTTGAGTTACTTCTTGTTCAAATGACACAATGTACCAGGTATAATATCTGTTTGTGCAAAGGTGTCTTTATGTATGCACCTGCAAATCTAGAACTTGTAACATAATACATCTGAGCCTAGTTTTCTTTTCCCCACATGCTTACCCACTTCAGCTAATGTATCATTCCCAGGTCATTCACAAGTCGGGGGCCAACCTTGACTCTGACTAATACATAGAGCTTGTTATTTACTTTCAATGTTTAAATCAATAAAAAGTAATTGAGAACCTGACATAATCCAATTCTTTTCATCTTTGTTTTGAATATGTAGACAGATGTTGTTGAAAAAAGAAAGGAATCTAGTGTACTTGATGTTTTTTGATAGGTATTTTTGACAAGCCATTATTTTTCCTTAGGGAACAAAAGTATATAAAAAATGCTTATTACAACATTAATTTATAGCAACCATTTGGCATCATTAACAGAATTTTATTTTATTTTTAAAAGTCTATTCAAAGACAATTCACCAAATGGTTAAGAGGGCAAATGTCTAACACAACCTGGAATACTACAATTTTGTTCATCATCAGTATAGATAACAATGAAAAACATCAAAATCAAAGCCAGTCTTTCATGTGACACTGGTAACAGGTTTTATTTTTTTTTTTTACAAATGTTAGTGCAGATAATTTTGTCATTTTTAAAGATGTAGAAATTTAAAAAAAATCATTTTTCTGAGTGAGACAGCTTAATTATTACAGAAAGACACTGGACTAGGATTTGGGAGTACTAAACTCAAATCTTGCGCAGAGCACTGTTCTTTCACTGTGTCTTTGGGAAAATAATCTCTTCCAGTCTGTTTCCCTCTCTATCTGGTTGAGTATTGAGTGTGATGCTATATGGGGGCCCTTTGACTATCCGCCTCTATGACTTTAAGCCTATATGTCTCCTAGTCAGCACTTCTGTGATTCTTCACAGGTATGCTGGCATCATCTCCAAATATCTATGTACGCTATGGACACTAGCTCTATATCAGAAATTTTACCTTAAAGCAGTGGCTGGCTTGCCACATAAATGTATTGACTCATAGGCTTTTTGGAATATAAGAAGTTTCTGACATGTCCACTGAGGCCACAAAAGTCTGCTCTAAATAGGAAGAAAATCCATCTGCCTAATGGAAAGAGTCACATTGTTTCAATAAAGAGATTTAGTTTTATTAACACAAAGTACCTACCTGAAGACCTCAGTTGCTGAAGTTATAAAAAACAGTTGATGATACCTTACCTGTCTGAAGGCAGGGGCTGGATCAAATAATTTCTTAGGTCTCTGACCTACACTTTCAAGTCATATCTAAGACTACATTTAACTCTACACTGTGGTACAGCTAATTTTCATCAGGGAGATAATTTTAGGAATGTGTATGGAAAAGTGTCTTTATGTATGCACCTGCAAATCTAGACCTTGTAACATAATACATCTGACCCTGGTTTTCTTTTCCCAGATGCTTACTCATTTCAGCTAATATGTCATTCCCAGGTCATTCACAAGTCAGGGGCCAACCTTGACTATGACTAATAAACCCTGGAAATATCAAATCTGGTCTATATTTATTCATGTCACAAACATAGTCATGTAATTTCCATAAACATTTAGTCACTTCGCTCATTTACTAACAAAGCAATTCCCAAGTTCACTGGGAGAAATTGAAGTTTCTCGTGTCCACAGTGTTGATTTCCCTTCATATCAGCCATTCTCTCCTTAAAAGATGATAAATTCTGAACAAGTGAAATAATGCAATCTTACTGTATTGAACGACAATCTAGACTCTGAGAAAAGAGTGAGTTATAATACAAAGTATAGAAACACTTGATAAATCCTACTTAGTTGAATCAAAAGCAAAACCAGCTAACTTGCTGAAATTCAGATTTGCCAACTAGAAAAAAATACAAGAGCTAAGTTAATTAAGAATATGACTGAATCCTTTAGAGAATTGAAAAATAAGCTAAAATATATAGAATAAAATCAGAATTACAATAGTTGCTGATTCAATAACATATATTATGATTAGTATTTGAGCATTTTCAAGAACACATTTATATGAGATCATAATTTTTACCCAGCTAATAATAGCCAAATTACTAAATAATGATATATACTCCCTCCCTTTCTTAGAGAGTTTTAAGCAGGTGGCTTATTTTTAACACCAAATTTCTTCTAATTTTTTTTTCATTCTTTTCCTGCTTCACATTTATACTAAATAATGCTTAGGCACACCATAAGCTTTGTGTAAATCGATGTTTTACCAAGGGTTAAAATTCCGTAAGGTTCTGGAAAGCCAGAGAGAGAACACTGTTACTTTGTTGATGTTTAGTGGTGTCCACAATATGGCTATAAGTTTTTTCCTCAAACTGTCACTCTTACACTTTGATATGCCATCATAGATTCCTTTTATCTGAATTTTTGATTGGCATGTGTAGTGGCTATTATGCAGTTGAAATGGATTCTTTTAATCAAATTTCTCCACCTTACTGAATCTTTTCCATTGCTTTATCTATTGCTGGGACGGTGGCTTGGTATCATGGAAAGAACAGTGGGCGTTAGAATTAAACTTGAGTTCAAAGCTGGGCTCTGTCCCTTACTATGTGTGTTAGGTTACTTAACCTCCTCTCTGAACTTTGATTTCCTCTTTTACCAAGGGGGAAAATAATATGTACATCCCAGTGGTGTTATGTTAAATGGAATGATATATGTAACATACCTAAAATAGTGTGCGACACCCGCTAGATGCTTATCAGATGAGCCGCCTTTATCCCTCTACCTCAAGTGGCTTCACCATGTGGCCATTCAGTCCAGGTCTCCAGAAAGGATGTAGAACATTATCAAGGCCATAGTACAAGTCTCCGGCCCACTCTGTTTCATTTGGCATAACTTATTTCTTTCAAGTTTCTATTTCCTTAGTTCTAACGCTTGCAGGGTGGTCAACCCAAAAGTCCAGAGAAGCCGGCTAAGTCACATTAATGAATAAAGCTGACGAAGGTCAAGCAAAATGTCCTGGAAATATATCAAATTTGGTCTACATTTATCATGTCACAAACATAGTCATGTAATATTAATACACATGATATTGGAGATTATATTTTAAATGAGAGATATTTTCATGCAATAATAGTAACAGCTCTGCCTGAGTGTGGGATGAATCAGTCATAGGGACAGGGGGTACTTTGGCAGCCATGTCTAAGGAGGACAGCCCTGGCTGAACTCCAGACAGCTATTGCTACCTGGGCATACTGACCCAAGGTGGCCTCACCTTCCAATTTTTGAAGCTAAGCTAAGTATTTGCATTTTAATGGGCAATCTCCCTGTATTTGAATATCAGACCCAGTTTGTCCTAAGTGCTCTCAGTTTGTGACTCCTGCCCAAGGTTTTCCTGGTTCTCCTCTGATGTCTCTGGCCATTTCTTCTTCTTTGCTTCTACAGGCTGCTGAGCCAGGGTTTCATTTTTAACTTCTCATTCATATAAGATTTCTTTAAGCAACCTCATCCACTTTCATGGTTTTGAACTCTGCCTTCTAGAAATGCTGAAGACCCCTAAATCTGAGTCCTCAATGCTAACCTCATCTTACACTTTTACAATCACTTAACCAACAACTCGCTAAATAGCTCCATGTAAATCTCCTTCCAACATTTCAAAGGCAGTACAACCCAAACTAACCTAATGAGTTTCCCCCAACTTCCTTTCCACGAACCCTCTTCCTCTTATGTGTTTCTGCTCCTTATTTCTTCTCCAGCTAATCCCATGACCATTTGCTCAGGCAGTCAAATGCTACACTTAGGACTCAATCTCCACTCTTTCCTTTTCCCTCACCACCAGATGCAACTATTGAAGATCACCAGTTCTGTCCCATAGACATTTGTCAAATACATCCCTTTCTCCACATTTCTAGAGTCTCTACCCCGGGCCTCATTTGATTAATTGCAATAGTCTCCTAACTGCCCTTAGCTTGCTCCAGTCCATTTTCTACCATGTTGCCACAGCCAGTCAATCTAAAATTATCTGACCATGTTTCTCTCCTACCTGTAACTTCTCAGAGGCTTTCAGATGTCTAAGCTCCCAGAAACTCTGCAAGACAAGGTGTGAGCAGTGACAACTCTAGATGAGGACAGGAACCTTAATGCCAGAAACAGATAGGTCCCAAGGGCAGGTCCCAGAGAGAGATCCAGTGAATAATCCAGTAGGCATGGATCAGGGTTGATGGGGGTTGGAGCCACATTAGAATTTCCCATTTCTAGAAAGCAGGCCTGAGGCCACAGGTCATGTCCCACTTTTCTTTCTGAGATCCCTGGGATCAAGAAGTATATTAAGCCAAAGCCTCTTTTTTATTGTCATAAAATTAAATATAGTTGATTCCCCATAACTCTAAATTTTAAAATGGGTACCATGTAGTTTGACCAACCTTTGTCTACCATTTGTCACCTCAAATGTTTATTGTTGAATTCTTTGCCCATTTTTAAGCTGGACAGAATCTGTAGGCCTTAGGAGAAATGAATTGTAAGGAAGCAGTATAATTTTATCCCAGGACTCTGCTGACCTTGAAGAATTTTCTAGCTTTTCTGCTTTTGTTTATTTTCTTTTTTTCTTTTTTCTTTTTTTCTTTTTTTGGTCACAGGATTCCCTCTATAGAACCAAAGCACTGTTATCCATAATTTCTTATCACTCCACTGTAAGCTTTAGCAGAAACCACTGGGGATTTTACTGTGTTATGAGAACCTCCAAATTGCATGACAATCTTGTTTTACAAGTTTCTTATCTCCTTTTCATTTGTTCAGTTGGTGGTCACCAGTGGCTTACAATGTCACCAGAATCTGTTCAAAGAAATAAAAAGTTTTTGTTCTGCAGGCTCCTTATCTACAGTTCTGTTTGTACTCTCGAATCCACTGGTGATTTGTGACATCACTGGAATCCCATGGTGTAACCATAGCCACGCACAAAGATAATCTTCTAATTGTAGTCCATTTGTTCACCATGGTTCTCTACATTTTTCAATCTCATCATTCCATTTTTATCACTATAAAATTCTAACGGTATCAGGTGAAAATCCTGAACTATTCATTTTGCCTAGAGACTATCTTTCCTCAAGTATTAGCTATGAATGTGAGTATTAAGATTGACAGTGATAAAAAGCAATGTAGGATGTTAAGTGGACTCAGGATTAGGACCTAGTATTATAAATTCATAAATGGTAATGAGTATACTTTCAGGAAAATATCAATTAATTAAAAATGGTCAGATACAAGAAAGAAAATATAGGTAAAAGGAAATAGTTTTTAAAAATTTGTTTAGTCTTAGTGTAAGATAAATGAACTTTGATAGTAGTCTTATAAACAATAAATAAGTAAGCATTAAGTGAAAGTCTAGTATTATGAAAGTTTATTTGCAAATATCAAGCTTTTGTGGTTTAAAAAATGGATTATGAATTAAGATACATTAGCAACAGAGTACAAAAGCCCCAATAGATAAAATGATGAAGAACATGAACAGATAGGTAATAAAGGAGCAACAGGATACCAAAAAAATATGAAAAAAGTAATTAAGGAAACAGCAAATTAATCAACTACTTACATGGACATACACACATAACCCATTAAATGAAGTTATCAAAATAAAACATATTGCTGATGAAGGTGTGAGGAAATAAACATTCTCAATCACTGACAGTGTGATGATAGAAATCTAAATTTGTAAAAATGTCACTTGAATTTCAAGGTGGGCAGTCAAGACCCTCAAAATAACTCTGCCAACTCACCACGCAGTTATAGTTTTGAGAAGCTATTCTATAGAAATATTCTAAAATAATAGAAAAGCCTTTAGACCTCAGAAATATCCCACACTGTGTTCTTTATAATGTCTAATAAAGAAGAATGATCAAATAAATCATTATCCATTCATAAACCAGAATGTGAGGCAGCATGAAGTTATAAGAGTTTAAAATAGGAAAAGGATTATTTATGATCTTAAATCAAAACAGCAGGATGTAAATTTGCACGTGTGGAAATATAGTATCAACTATGAAAAAAATATTAAATAAGGCTGTAAGAAATACAAAATAAGTGTGGTTATTTCCAGATGATGAGATTAGAGATAATTTCTATTTTAATCATTATACTTTTCTACATTTGCAAGTATTCAACAGTGAGCGTGATTTATTTTTATGATTTATTTTTAAATGTTATAAATATATTCTTGGGAAATGACTAGTGACATGGTCATAAAATCAACTTTTTTTTGATTTGTAGTAATATGTGATTGAAGTTTTTTAAAAGGTACTAGGAAATACTACCACTATTAATAAAATATTTGAAGGTCCTTTAAAATTGATTCTACTTATTCTAGATTTGGGGATTATAATTAACTCACATTCACATACCTGTTTTGAGACACAAAATAACTCATATCCAAGGTTTATTTGCATTTGAATCTTTGATCCATGTTGGGTTTTGCTGGTCAAAGTGCCTTGCAATGTCCAAGTTTTAATCTGTCTTCTCATATGCCATTTGCTCATGAGAGAGGGATTAACATCGTCCTTTTGGGGCAAGGAGATTAAATGGAGAAATTTGTGATAGTCCAAATTCAGTTATCAAGGAGGTGGGAAAATGAAGTTTGAAGTTTTGTTTTTAAAATGGAATGAATAATGGTCATGTGACTAGAATAAGGATCATAGAAGAGCATCTATTTAATCATGTTTTGGCAGTTTATTTGAATGTGAGCAATATCTGGTCCCTTTTACACAGTTTGCCCCTCTAAGGGGAGTTGGCGCTGGATGAGAACTTTCCATTTTTAGAAGGGGGGCCTTGGGCCATAGGCCATGTCCCACTTTACTTTTTAAGATCCTTGGCTAAAGGAATTGTATTAAGCCAAAGTTTCATCTTTTTAAAAAGCAGATATATTTGGTTTCACATAACCTGAAATTTGGAAATGGATGCCATGTATTTAAAATTAACCTTTCTCTACTATTTGCCACTTCAAGGCTATGACACTTTGGAAAAAGACAGCAATCATCTGTTGAGTAGATTCTGTTCTATTTATCTCTGCTCTCACCATTCCAGCCCACAAAGCTCCTTGGCCTTGTCCAACAGCCACTGAGATCAGAGCCAGGGCTGAGTGATTACTAACGAAATTCTAGTTTCAAAAATCTATCAGTCTCCATAGAGTGTGGGAATATGGAAATTTTTCATTTATCTCTTTTAAAATTTTAGTTCTTTCTTTTGTTCTCCAGAATTTCATTTCACATTGTCCTCTGGGCCGCTCCCAGATGGGCTGCCTTTTAGAACATGTGCGTCAGCCAGAGAGAGTAAAAATTTCACAGTGATTCCCCCATGTAGGGGCCAAAAATGATGACAGATTGAGGAAGATGCCAGCGTCCTAGGATAGAATGTATTGCTCCAGCAGGTCTCACGGGGGCCTCCCAACATGTACCATGTGGCAGTACTGGGGGACCATTGTATCAACTGTCAACTAGGGGTCATAGTGCCTTGAGTGTTTGAAGGCAGGGGGCTTAGGCAACCATATGACATACAGTGGGCACTTCCACGTTTTAGAGCTAAGATTCTATTTTATTTTCTTTTGTACTTCATTGCATTCTTTCTCATGCTCTTTTCATTCAAAGATTCAGTCCCAAGACAGGATTATGATACTCCACCAGCTGTTGTGTCAGGTAGGAAAATTCTAATTCCTTTAAGATTTGATTGGAGGGGAAAGATGGAGGTTGCCTGGTTTTCTCCAAAACTCTTTAAAGCAGTGATTCTCAATAGGGCTGGGTACAGGAATTTGAATTTCAGTTCTGGGATTGACAGCGGGGTAGCATATGTGGTTCAAAAAAGTATCTTTAATATTCCAACCCAGTTTTGTGTATGGAAAATAAGTATGTTTTTTTTTTTAAATAAAAAGTGAAAGCTCAAAGATATTTGGTCTGTGAAGAATACACAGAAAATAGAGTCTATGTTCTGTGTATCAGTGATTCTCACTGTGAGAAGGATTCATCAGAATTTCTGGGAAGTGGGAGAAGGATATTTATGTTTATCAAAAGAGGGCACAGATTAATAAAAAAATAGTTTGAGAAGCACTGCTTTAGAGACCAGAATTCTTTTGAAATCAGAAAGTCATTCCATTTTGCTTGCTCAGCACCCAGCATAGTGTCTGACACATAGTAGGTGCTTGATATAATTGTTTGTTGAATGAATCAAAAGTTCAAATTTGTTCCACAAATGGTATTATGGATATTGAAAGAGAAGCTGCCAATGTTCCATTTGTACAACAAAGTGGCAGAGATTGATTTGAGAATGCATTAGCATCATTAAGATTTTAATTAGCAACGTTTAAATTGTTTCATAAAATTCAGTGGTTCACTTTGTAAGGGGTACATATATGTGAAGAGGTTGGTTTTTATTTTGAACTGCACAGATCCTCTGTGCTTTCACCTTAATTTTGAATTTTGTTTTCTTGCAAAGAGGAAAATGGGCACGATTTTTCATTCTTGTTGACTTTTTAAACTAAATAAAATACTGGCAGCCTGAGGAGCTTTGAACTCTTTGATCCTTTGATGTGTTAGATGATGAGGACATAAAATCTAAACCAAGAAGGGCATTGGTGTGACAGAGCAAGAGACAAAGGCCAGAAATAGAATGAAAGAGCCCAAGGGGCAGTAAAGTCTGGCAACTGAACGGTGGTTTTCAAGCAGAGAACACTGTGTTCTTGACCACCTGGTTTGCCTGACCCAGCATCTGAAGGGTAATCCGTTTCTCATGTCTTGTGGACTTGTTTAATTATGCTCATGGCTGAATACTCATCTTAAAAGTTCAGTTGAGAAACAATCAGTTAGCTTTCAGCTATGAAGTCACTTTGGTCCTCTTGAAGATCTCTACAAGTTGTCATTAATTAAAATATCACTTATCTTTCCCGAAGTGTATTACCGGTCGTATCTTAATGTGCCTATTTCATTTAGGATATGGGATGCCCGGGAAGGGAAGATCCTTTATTCAGTGCATACAGTCTTAACTTTGTTTAATATGTGGCTTCCACTCTTGATAATTCACCAATATTAATCATAGTGAAAGACACAAACTGGAACTTGCCTTCAACTAGGTTGTATGATTTCACTTTCAAGAACCAAAAGAACAAGAACAACAAGGAAACATCAAAAGCATTTGCTGGATATCAGCCAGAGGTAGGCTCTTACACAAATCAATTGAGGCAGGACATCTTGCTGCCTGGAGCTCCCACCTAATTCCATAGACAGAGAGGTACCACTGAAAGTTCTTCAACAGAGAAATGACTTGATCAAAGTAGTGCTTGAAGAAACTTAATCCAGCAATTTTGTGTGTGCTTAAGGAACAAAAAATAAGAATCACATAGTGTAGTTAGAAAAGCCAGGTATGATATCACTAGAATAAAAAAAGTGCTAATATCCCAGCTGTAGAGTACAAAAGAAGGGACTAATATAGAAGTAACAGAAAAAATAAGATGGAGGCAGGTTGGGAGTGTCACAGTCCCTTCCCCCTTTAAGTCTGGATTGGTGGTTTGACATATTATGAATTTGCATGGACGTCTTTGGCATCTTTGGTCTACAGCTAAATGAAAATAGACTACTTACCTTCCAAAAAGTGTGTTAACTGTCCTGGTGGGCACAACTTGAATGACTTCTGAAAAATAGTGTATCCTTTGCCCAACCCTTGACCAAATCAGGAAAGTAAAATGGGCAAAAGTGTTATAACAGTTTCTTCTCATATTTCCCAATATGCCCCTATTGGACAACTTAAATAATAATCAGTTCTTTGCCAGTATCAGAGCTGACTAAACTGCCATAATGCACCTGAGTTCAAGATGTCTGTTTGGTAATCTACAGAGACAAACCCAACCTAATATCATTCAATCAACCCATCAAACATTTATTGAACACCTTCTGAGTGCTAGGCACTACACATAAGTACTTGGGACACAAAGATGAATAGAAAATAGACCAAGGGTAAAAAATATCATGGTCTCATTTAATGTTGTTATTACTGTTGTCATCATTGTTTGTGATGCTTAAATGTATAAAGTATGAAGGAACTAAAATCTAGAATCTAAAAAGAAGAATCTAGAATCTAAAAAGAAGATCAGGAATAAAGTGAATTCTGAGGGGGATTTGGAAGAATGAATAGGACGTTAGCAGTTGGACAAGACTGGGTAAAGTACATGAGGGGAATGGGACAGGATTGTAAACTCTTGGAGATAAAGATATATGGGGTGATTAGATGGTAGCAAGTCACTTGGCATTCTTGGGATGAAATGTCACAATACAGACACTGAGGCTAGGTCAGGGTAAAGCCGATTTTAGGTAAAGACTCTTTCGTCTTTGAGTCACAGGTCACTTTGTTCTTTTTTTTACTCAAATAATATTTATCACAAGCATACTATGTGGTCATCTCTGTGTTGGTGTTAGGGGCACAACTTCCTTCTAAGAACCTAGGGTTGAATTAGGAATTCAGGTACAAACAGGTGATTATGACACAGTATCAAAAGTATTTCTATGTAGACAAATATGTGATGTTGAAGTTTGTAAATTCTTCAATAAGGTGCCTAAATTCATGTGCCTAAATTTCATTAGTTGTAGAAACTTGGGAAATTTACTTAATTTCTCTGTAGCTTATATTACTTATCTGAGGAAATAATAATAATTACCTCATAAGGTTGTTGTGAGTATTAGAGGTGTTAAGATATATTAGCCGATGGGGCACCTGGGTGACTCAGTTGGTTAAACATCTGACTCTTGGTTTCAGCTCAGGTCAAAATTCTCAGGGTTGTGAGATCAAGCCCAGAGTTGGGCTCCACACTGGGTGTAGAACCTGCTTAAGACTCTCTCGCCCTCTCCCTCTGCCCCTCCCCCAACTCACATGTGCTCCCACACTCTCTCTCTCTCTGTCTAAAATAAAATAAATAAATAATATATTTAAAAAAAGATATACAGCCCACTTAGAACAGATCCTGGCATAAAATAAGTGCTCAAGTGTTATTAGCAACAGCTATATATATATATATATACACATGTGTATACATATATGTATATATATGTAGCTATATATGTATATACATAAAAATGTGTATATATATATATATGTCTATTTATAGAGTCTATATATGACTATTCTTGTTACAAGGTGCTATGATGGCAAAAAGAAAAAAAAATCAACATACAGTAGAGAAGTCAGAAAAAGTGGAAGAAACCTCTAAATGGAGACATAAGGAGACATGGGGGTTAACCAAGTAAAAAATAAGTTGAAGGAAAGTTTCAGACCAAGATGGCAGCATATACAAAGGCTCATGGGTATCAGGACATAGCAAATTCAGGGCAGTATGAATGGTCCAACGGCACAGAGACATATAAAAAGAGATGGGGAGTGGAGAAAATAAGCCCGGAGAAATAAGCTGGTGCAAAATCAACAGATATGATTACTTGAGGTCTGTCCTGATGGCAGTAAACAGTAAAAGATTTTAAGTTGGAGACTGACATGACAGACCACCCTGGATACAGTGTAGTAAATGTGTTGAAGAGACATAAAATTAGAAAAGGGGGCCAGAACTCAAGAACACGAGCACAAAATGAAGTGGGCATTTGTTCAAGCTATGGAAATGAGAACACAGTATTGACAAACTTATGACGTATTAACTGAGTGGCTGTCAGAATAGAAGGAGAGAGAAGAGTTAGAGGAAGTTCCTTAAGGTCCTGGCAACTCAGTGGCCTGAGGCATCATTTGCTGAGATCTGAACCAGAGGACAGAGGATCAAGTTTGGTGGAAAAGAGACCAAGTTCAGTATTATACGTGTTGAGCTTTGGATGTCTATGAGGTATCCAAATGGAAATAATCAATAAATATTCAGATGTGTGTGTCTGGAACTTAGAAGACAACTACTAGCTAGAGATGAATTTTAGAGTTATCACCATGGAATTAAGTCATGTCACCCAGAGAATGTTCTTAGAATGAAGAGAAGTAGCCAGATCCTTGAACATATAGGCAGAAAAAGGAGCCCAAAATAAAGATTGGGAAAGACAACTATAGACATAGAAGGAAAACCAAGATTATGAGGTTTCAAATGAAGCCAAAGCAAGAACGTATTTCAGGAGAGAGGTCTCCAGTAAGATGAGTCCTTCCATTGGATTTAGTTACATATGGGTCACTGGTCAATTTGATGGGAAGTGTAGAGACAGTGAATGTCCTGTATGGTAGTAGATGCCGCAAGTGCCAGAAACCTAACAGATTTGGCCTTGAGGAAGAGTAGACAAGGTAGAACTAAAAACAAATGGAGAACGGAATTGATTGATGTTCTGATTTTTTTTAGATGTTTTTAGATGGGAAATATTTGGTCATGACAGAAAAAAGCCAGGAAAGTATTCTAAAGTTTGAAGATGTAACTCATGAAGGGCATGAGTGATATAACTAGGTCACTGAGGAAGGCAGACATCTCTTGTGGGAATGTGAGAAGATAGGAGGAAGGCTTGATATAAGTGCATATAAGTCTGTAAATGTAGGAATAGGATATTAAAGTATATTTATGAGATAAATACTATTTGTTTTTATGTGAAGTATTTAGTAGCATCTTCTGAGAGCAGGTGGGAAATGACATGGGAAAGGATTTAAGGAGAACAGAGATTTGGAAAACTATGGAGTAGGAAAGCCA